TGTAATATTTTACTACAAAATATTATCACCAATCTGAAATGGTATACAAAGAAAAATACAAATTACTTGTTTTGTAAAAATCCTGATTTATGGAAAATGAAAGTGAAAATGAACAATATTTGATTCTAGTTTCAACTATTGACATTTTAATGGGATTTGTATCCCCATAAAAAGCATCAGCAAAGGATATTAATAATTTAGGATAGTAAGCAGATGATTTTTTTAAAAAGTGGCACTCTAAATACATGGGGAATAAGTTTGCAATTACAGTGACCTATCTTGATACCAAGGATTCTATATAAACAACAATTAAATCAAGAAACCCATAAAGAGCAATACAATTTACAATTCTGGACACATGGCAAAGTAAAACAAAAGTCCACAAATATAAGATCTGTCAACTGTTCGATCTTGATGGAATTTTGTACTGATTATGTTTTCTTTCTCTTTTTCTAACTGAGTTCAGGAGATCTGATAGAGAGATCCAGTTTCAAGGATTTTCCATTGTTCTTTTGTCCACAGGCATCAAGAGCATCACTAACTAGATAGTCCATATATGAAAGGGCTACCACATACATGAGACAAAACTTTGAGTCAAATAGGCTACTAAATTGTTCTCTCATCAGCACTCAGTAGTGGTGATATTGTTTGAAGAAGGAGAGTGTTTTGTGTCAATAATTTTTCTTAAAGATACCAAGAGAAGCTTGAAAAAGCATTGGGCCAAACTACAAGTAGAAACTGTACCTCGTATGTTTACTGCAGCACTACTTACAATAGCAAAGACTTGGAACCAACCCAAATGCCCATCAATGATATATGGATAAAGAAAATGTGGTACATATACACCATGGAATACGATGAAGCCATAAAAAAGGATGAGATCATGTCCTTTGCAGGGACATGGATAAAACTGGAAGCCATCATTCTCAGCAAACTAACACAAGAACAAAAAACCAAACACCGCATGTTTTCACTCATAAGTGGGAGATAAACAGTGGAAGCACATGGACACAGGGAGGGGAACATCACACACTGGGGCCTGTCAGAGGGTGGAGGACTAGGGGAGGGAGAGCATTAGGAGAAATACCTAATGTAGATGATGGGTTGATGGGTGCAGCAAACCACCATGGCACATGTATACCTATGTAACAAACCTGCACTTTCTGCACATGTATCCCAGAACTTAAAGCATAATAAATAAATAAATAAATAAAAAACAGTGTGCATCAAAGTAGCTCTACATGCTTTACAAAAAGATGCTTAATTAGAAATAAACAGAAAAATCCTGTAAATAAGAAGGGAATACCACTCTATTTCTTTCTTTCCCTGCTCTTGGTCTCAGTAGCCTTCCTTTATCTGATCAGTGTCTACTATATACTAGGCACTTTGGAATGTGCTGGGTAGAAAAATGACAGCTTTCCCCCTCCCAAAAATCTTCTCGAAGAGCATGGTTTAGCAAGAGTGGTTGACATTTATCAAATAGTAACACATGTATGTGATGACAAAGAACGCTATGTTATAGAAAAGTAGACAATTTTAGGAGAGTGTGTAAAGGGAGATCTGGTCAAATGCAGGCAACCGGGAAAAGCTTGCACAATGTCCAAGCCAAGATGTAAAGGATTATTAGATGATAACCAGGATATTATGAGTGGGTGGGTGTAGGTAAAAGGGTTTGAGACAGAGGACCAGCATGTTTAAAGCCCCATATAAGAGGGACATGCAGAACTGGAAAAAGCAAAAAGAGGCAGTATGACTGGTGTCCAAACAGCAAGGGAAGAGCATCTAGAAAAGAGGAGGTTGAGGCCAGACAAGCCAGATAGTGCCTTGTCACCCTCGTTGAGGATTTTGGTCTTTTTCAAAGAGCACTGAGAAAACTACTACAGTGTTAAGATAAGGACTGATATAATTGGATTTATGTTTTTTACACAGATTGTTCTGACTGAAATGTAGAGATTGCATTGTAGGGTGGCAAGAGTAGATTCAGAACGGTTAGGAGAAATGGTCTCTTATAACTATGATGATGACAATAGTAGACAGTCAAGAACAATTTTGAAGGTAAATTGGCTGGGCGCGGTGGCTTACGCCTGTAATCCCAGCACTTTGGGAGGCCAAGGCAGGCAGATCACGAGGTCAAGAGATCGAGACCATCTGGCCAACATGGTGAAACCCTGTCTCTACTAAAAACACAAAAATTTTCTGGGCATGGTGGCGCGTGCCTGTAGTCCCAGCTACTCGGGAGGCTGAGGCAGGAGAATCGCTTGAACCCAGGAGGCGGAGGTTGCAGTGAGCTGAGATCATGCCATTGCACTCCAGCCTGATGACAGAGCAAGACTCCATTCCCCCACCACACACACACACACACACACACACAAATTGACCCAGTAATGTCTTGGTAGTGGAAGGCTGAAGTCTGGTCATCTGGAAAAGGTACTGTATCAGTCCACCACACTGTTGTCTGGTATGAGAAAATATTTAGATATTTATTTAGAGTCTTGGAATATTTAGCTAGAGTTTTGGAGTTTTGTAGATTGCAGCAACAAAAAGATAAAGAAGCAAAGTGTTCTGGAGTTTTGAAAACAAGTTATTAAAATTTAGATGATTGATTCTAAGTTGTACTTGGAAGGAGGTAAATATGGAAGGTCAGAGGAACTAATGTATAAAACACAGAGTAATCAATGGGCTGGAAGTCTTGTGAAATTCAAGAAAGATAACAGGGAGCTATCTGAGCAAGCACACTAACCAAGTGGGGATGGATTAACTTCATTCTGGTCAGTATCACTCATAACTCCAGCATCACCATCTCCCCAAGTCATGTTATTTGTCATGAGATTCCTGAGTAAGAACTGAGTAAGTACAAACATTTTACCACTCTTAACAATTAACCAAAACTAATAACCAGGAATAGTGAAGCAGTATTTATAACAAAATACCAGCTGGAAGAAACCACAGCAATTATTTGGACCGATTTCCTCATATTACAGTTGAAGAACAAAATAGCAATCAGAATCCATCTTATGAAGAAATATGACTAGAATCTCAGTCTCCTGACTCCTAGTGCACCTGTCCAATGATTCATTTTCTTTGGTTTCTGGAACTAGCATAAAATTTATCTTTTGTAGAAATTCTGTCTCATTTCACTATATCGCATAAGGCATTTTTTTTTTAAAGGCCCATCCTTCTCAGTGAGTGCTTTTCTATATGTACACCAGAGTGTTTTGGCTGTTCATTCAAAGTCAGAACATTTAAAACACATAGCACCATTACATTTCACCCTCCCACAAAAACTAATTTAATATTCAGAAATATATGAAGGCAAATGGCTAAAGGAGAAACTGGCAGTTTCCCTGGAATTTTTTGCAAAGATCCCTGGGTCTTCTTTCATGTTCTCTTCCATTTTTATAATTTCCTATATCATCTTCTCCAGAATGATATAAACCCTTGACCTTTCCTCAAGATGCCACCTTTGGCTTTATCTCCACAGAGATCTTTCCTTTACATGCTCGACATACAAAAGTGGCACCATTTTTTCAAATTTTTATTATTTGGTAGTAATTTGTTTGGTTTGCTATTCATTTCTGTTCTTGTACCTTTTATTCCCATTTCCAAAACACTTATCAGTATCCATTCTACACCAGACACTTTGCTAGGCTCTAGGGTCTTGGAGGAGGTGGACAAGACAAAATCTCTGCCTTTTTCACTCAGAGCTTAGTAGAGAAGATAGAAATGTAAGTAAAAACAAAACAAAACAAAACAAAAAGAAATTATTGGTCATCGTTGGAGGATGCTAGTGAACAACTTGTTATTATAAAAATTAGTAAAATTGAAACATGTATTTTGCTTGTTCAATATGAAAGGTATACTGAGTACCAAAACAGGAGACAAGCGCAAAACACTTTTTTTCCATAGACCTACCCCAGTGAATAAATGAAGAAGGAATGGTAGAGATAGGCAATTATCACACTGCAACCCCTAGCCACTGATCATGAACAGCTATTAAACATCACACAAAAAGAGAAAACAAGGCATTATATACCAACTCCTGATGATGGAAGAATACACGAATGCCTGTGAAGCAGTCTTGCCAAAAAAAAAAAACCAAACCCAAATACGATCAAACTATAGAACTGCACTGTTTAATTGGTAGCTACTGGCAACATCTGGCTACTGAGTACTTGGAATGTAATAAGCCTGAATTGAGACGTGCTGTAAATGTACATTTTTTATATTGATTGCATGTTGAAATGACAATAAGAATTGTACTACAGTTGCATGACATACAACGATGAGAAGAAACAGGGTGAAAGGTACAGGGAAACTATACTATTTTAGAAACTTACAGTGAATCTGTAATTACTCCCAAATAAAAAGTAATAAAAAGACCAATTAACCAAAGTAAGGTGTGGGTCTGATTTCAATTTTTATTTAAATCCGAACCAGAAAAAGTTAAAAAAATTCATAATATGTATGAGAGAAATGGAAATTTGCATATGGACTGGATATTTGACATGATGAAATTATTGATATTTCAAAAGCATTATAGTAGCAAGGTGATTATCTTAAAAGAGTGAATCCTATCTTTTAACCTTTTGAAATATTAACAAATAAAATAACACATGCCTGATATTTGTTTTAAAATAATCTGGGAAGAGCTATAGAATAAATAAGATCTGATGTGATTTGATAATTATTGATGTCTTGATGGGTACATGAGTTTTATTATAGCATTCTGTCTACTTTTGCATATGTTCAATATTTTTCATAATGAAAAGTTTTTTTTTATATAGTCAAAAGAGATGGACGATTTCTTAAACGGTATTATTAACACAGATGTGTTTGACATTTAAAATATAATGGCTTGAATTATTTGTAATTGACCCTTGGGTAAGAAGAGTAAAAAAGACTTCTATTCAACTTAATTTCAAACAAAATTAATTTTAAATTAGTCACTGGATTATTATGTGCTTAACATGTGCAAAGCACTAGGCTTAAAAATGTCCTACCCTATGTACATCGTTCTGCTTCTGAACTGCTGGAAAGTCGCCTCCAATAGGTGTCTGCCGGCTTAATTCATCATCTTTCAGCTGTAGCCACACCAGAAGTTCCTGTAGAGAAAGGTGCAGACGCTTCCACTGGTCAGAACTGGCTTCCAAATGGGACCTGAAAAAGAACAGCAGCATACTATGTCAGAATATCTAGAAGTATAATCGATGATTCCAACAATTCCATTAAAAAAGTACAGTAAACCTATTGTGAACTACAAAGCAGTCTTGAATAAAAATCTGGCTACTTACTTTTGAGAGCCATAAAACAGGGGATAGTTTGATGGCAATTTTGAGAAAAGGCAGTGTTTAGCCATATGTTTATTTCCACATGCAGAATGCTGAGACTTTTGGCATGGAATATGCACTGGAATCGATTGCTTTTCCATACTGTTATAGTCAGTGATTCTTAATATTTCTGGTAGAAAAAACTGGATGCAGTGACTAATAAAAAACACTTCGTTTTCATGTGACTCATGCTAGTACTGGAATTCTTTCTGCCTTGAGAAATGGAAAGGTCTCTCCCCACATTTTGACTTTTCCATTTCTACACCCTAGGCAGCCTTTTCCATTGAGTTCTTCCATCTGGCGTCTGTTCCTTTCTGCTTCTCTTCCCAAATGCTTCTCCTTTCCCCCTACCCTTCTTTATTTGTGTGCACCTGGGATTTGTCTTCACCAAGTTTCAACATTTTCTGCTTTGTTTCCTTTGTGTAAAAAATACTAAGACAACAACTCACATGGAAGAGTAAAATCAGACATTTATCTGAAAGCTTCCCCCGAACATGAATAATTTAGGCAGGAGACTGAGTGCTTTACCGTCAACTGTATTTAGAACATGTTAATCCTTTGAAGCCATTTAAGAATACACAAATGAATGATCTATGCTATAAAATCCACATTTTACTTGAAGATGAGAAGCTAAATTAATAAAATAAATCATCATCCAGAAAACAAAGAGGAAACGCAGCATCTTAGCAAAGCTTTATCTTCAGGTAAATTAGAAATTATGCTGAATCACTCGGCTATTATCAGCAATTACTAATTAATTCATAATAATGCTACCTATAACATAAATATAATAAAGTCTTTAATGCTGCAAAGATTGAAATATAAAGCAAAGCAACCAGGTAGAGCAACATTTCCCTTAGCCATTTGGTAACTTAGCTTGACATTTCAAATACAATTCTCCTTTTGGCCTTAGTCAAACAGAATCACCAAAGAATACTTATCTACTGAAATTAAATTGTTCCAAACTTTCTGAAGGATAATTTGACAATACATAAAAGTCTTTAAAATGTGCAAATACAATGACCCACAGGCTTAAATTCAAGGAATTTATACTAACAAAGAAATTGGAAAAAGATACAAAGATATACGTGGAAAAATGTTATATATAGCATCATTTAAGATTGATAAAACAGAAACAACTTAAATATTCAATACGAGGGAATTGCTTAAGAAATGCAAAACCCCTACCTACTGATTGTTTTCAAATGCAATGAAACTTGTATATGCTTTAAATTTAGAAATTAATGAAATTTATATATGAATTTAATTAAGTAGCTCTTAATTTAAAAGGTAATTATTATATATATAATGGTGCATTCATACAGTAAAATCCTATGCAAGGTTCAATATGATGACATAGTCAAATATTTATGGATATGGAAAAGTCATCATGTCAGTTACTAAGTGAGAAAACAGGTTACAAAACAAATACATTTTTTGAATTTTTCTAAAATATTTGTGTATATGTATGTATTTGTATGTACATGCTTGTCTATGAAAAAATTTTGTAATGACAACCAGGTTATCCCTCAGAGGTAGATTTACAGGTGATTTATTTCTTAATCTTTATACTTTTCCAAATTGTCAAGATTTTCTTTCTATAACTGCAATATAAACAATATTTTCAGAAAAAATAAAGGCATTTCCATCAAATAAGATAAATTATTCAAGACTCTGAGGTATTATTTCCTAAGAAATGAATCATGAAATACCATAAATGTCATGAATTGAATATAATAGTGCATGCAGATTGCATGCAATTAGAGGTCAGTTCTTTTATGCTTCTGTACCATCCTTTCAGTTATCACTTTTCCATGATAAGCCTAAGCGACAATTCCCTATGCAAGATTTTAGTTGTTTAAAGGCATGTAATGTATAATGGTTAAATGAATTCCTTGGGGCGTCTGGAATTCAGTGTGGTCCCTTTGAGAATGAAAGAGGCTGTCAAGCAGGACATTTTGAAAGGTAGGTGGAGAGAGGTAGGGCTCAGACATGGAAAAGCAGCAAATGGTAGAAAAGACACTGATTAAACAAATATTTATTGACTGCCTCTAAGTCTCTAGGATGCACTGGGGAGGAGGGAGAGAAGAAGGGAAGAGAGAATATAACGATGCTTAATGTTTGGTCTCTGTATGCCTGGAGGAGGAAACAAAAAATCGTTGTGGCAGAGAGGTCTAGAGGAGGATATAGTGAAGGGCAGGCTGCCTATGTTGAGACCTCAAGCTGCGGCTTTGTTTACGTAAGGAAGTACTAAAATTCCAGTTCTAGGTTAAATGGTGCTGACTAATTATTAGTGGGTCAATGAACCCCTTTGCGTCCCCTAAGCAAGAGCAAAATAACTGAGCTTAGGAATTCAGTTCTCTCTCTCTCTCTCTCTTTTTTTTCTTTGAGACAAAGTCTTGATCTGTCACCCAGGCTGGAGTGCAATGGCACGATCTTGGTTCACTGCAACCTTCACCTCCCAGGTTCAAGCAATTCTCTCCTGCATCTGCCTCCCAAGTGGCTGGGATTACAGGCACCCACCACCACACCCAACTATTTTTTGGTATTTTTAGTAGAGATGGGTCTCGCCATGTTGGCCAGGCTGGTCTCGAACTCTTGACCTCAGGTGATCCACCTGCCTCAGCCTCCCAAAATGTTGGGATTAGAGGCATAAGCCACCGCACCCAGCCAGGAATTCAGTTCTAAAGGATCTAAGAGAAAACTTAATAGCGTGAAATAGGGGTTGTTGGAAGCCAGGGACAGAGGACAGTCAAGAGAGCTAATATAGCAGCAGAAGACGGACCTAGAACCTTAAAAGGTGAAAAGCTCTCACATATCTGGGTAAGGGGCCATTCTTTAATTTTTTTATAAGGTGTGGAGTTAGATAAAATTTCAGAATGTTTGATCATCTTAACTACATATCAGATTGATTCATTTTTTCCCTCTCCTAAAGCTCAAGAGTGAAAGGAAAAATGTGCTGGGAGGACAAAAACTGAAGCAAAAAACTTATAAAGCACAGAGAACACTGAGTAAGCACAGAAGAGGTGAAAGGCAGCCAGAGAATGAATTAAAACAGCATATACAAACGTGTCCAATCTAAAGCTCTGGGTCTCAATCTCTAGCGTGCACAGGAAACATTTGAGTAGCTTGTTTAAAATCGAGATTGCTAGGTGCCACCTCCAGACTTTCTATAATTCTATCAAGAATCTCTGCTTTTAACAAGAACCTTCACAATTCCACAGGTAAGCTCCAGAACTGTTCTTTGATAAAGAATTTATTAAAGCATTTCTGATATGCCCCAAACATTACTTCTTGGTCTCCACAGGGCAAAGGTGGCATCTGTCAGTGACTTGATTTTGAAGATCTAAATGTAAGGAACATTATGAGCTCAAAACATTTTCTTTGACCATGTTAAGCCCGTGAAATGTTATCAAGTCACATTTCCCAATAGATTTATTAAAACAAATGCCTCATGCCCTATTTTTATTTTCACGAGTGTATATACCAGATATTTCGAAATGATTAACCTATGTTTGCATGTGGAATATCTCCTCCTGAAAATGTTTCTTTGTATTTGTAATGACTTTTTTTTCTGGTTATATCATACATAGGCTGTTGGGGCTGGAAGGAACCTGAGAGATTATAGTTCAACCTTCTTGTTTTGCATATGTAGAAATCAAGATTGCAAAGGTATAAAACAGCTGCTGAAAAACATAACTTGAGCTGTCCTATTTAGATATGGGAAATGGAAATTACAAACCTTGGTGAGATGAGAAAATCCTTAAACCTTAGTGGTTTTAACCAAATGTTTTAGATCTCTGAGCAAAAAGGCTTGTTGCTGTTAAATTAAATTAAATTGGGCCTAAAGCTGCCTCTGTACATAGCAAACTGCAACCCAGCTTGGCATGTAAGCAATACGCAACTTAAGAGTACATTCTTGTAACAAATAGCTGAGTCTCAGCCAATCCCAGCAGTCAAGATTCAGCTAATCACAGGCTGTAAACTGATCAGCTCATGTCCATATAAGGCAAATGCCTATTTACACTATTCCCAAGTAAGCCAAATTCTAAGCTGTAACTAGTCAAGCTGTTTCTGTATGTCACTTCCTTTTTCTATCTATAAATACTGCCTGCCCACCTTGCTGGGTGGAGCTTTCTGAACTTCTAATTCTGAGTACTGTCTGATTCATGAATTGTTTTTTGCTCAAATAAACTCTGCAAAACGGAATTTGTCTAAAGTTTGTCTTTTAACATTGCTAATTGTCAAATATATTCTGTTTATTCCTACCCACTCATCAGAAAATAAAAGAGGTGGTTCAAAGGGGCATACTTAGCTTCTATCTATTTCTATTAATCTTTATTAGTGAAGATAAGAGCTTAGGGGTTACTACCATTTAACAAGGCAAGTGCTAATCTCTAAAAAGCTGATAGTTTCCACAATTTGTAAGGTTTAGGTAAAACACAGAGCCTTTAGATGTGTTGGAGTATATTGCTTGGTCTTTAAGGAACTCCTCAGTGTCAGGACGCTAAGAATTATAGGGGCTGATAAAGTGATTGTTATTTCTCTAGACACAGATATTTCAACTGTGATTTGGTTAATGCCTAGTTTGAAATCCTTAATAAAACTTTACTCTTAAAGGCATGCATTCTTAAAGTGAAATGTGTTATATTGAATTCATTTTTCACTTTCACTTCCTTTATAAAACTAATGATATATCCCTATAAATCTTTAGTACCCTCATGTAATAAAATAGCACTTAAGCATGCATAAAGAAAAGGTAGGAATGCAGAAATCATAAAGAACCACAATACTGCCATAAAAACAGACACAAAGACCCATGGAAAAGAC